GTTATATTTTAGCACTGCATATGTTGAAAATGCTACCAAAGTGGTTTTTGGCATTTAAAACTACATACTCAAATTATGAAACTTAGCACAGAGAAGGAAAAAAATGACTAACTATTCTATGAACAATCCAGTACCAATTCATTTTAGATTTTGACCCCGACTGTCTCCTGTTACTTCATTAGATATCTTTAATTACTTTTGATTAGTTTAATTACATTTGAGTTTTTAATTTGGCATTTGTCTATGAGCTTTGTCTGAAAACATTAATAGCATAGATAGTATTTTGTTTAAGCAAAGTGAATACAATAATCGGTGATGGGACAATACAAAAGGAATGAGAGAAATGTACCCAGATATAATGCCCAGCCTTAAAAAGAAAATGAAAGCAACTCCTCCACCCCAAGATTAAGCAACAGAAAAACTGAACTACCTTTCTAATGAAACTTTAGTTTGACTTAAAAGCAGTATTAGATTTTCAGAGATTGTTTATTGCCTTTAAACCTGAATTAATAGGCAATAATTACACAGTTCCTGATAACTATATAAGTCTTTATACAATCCTTTAACTTGCAAATCTGTTTTTAAAATTTTATCTTCAGGTTACATTCAGAAATGCCAACAACAATTAACGTAAAAGGTTATGGAAAATAAATGTTGAATGAAATGTGACTGGCTAAATATCAGTGTAGTACTATTACAAAATACAATGGCTATATTTGAACCATGTGGGTTCCAATTTTATGATTTATGCTATTAAAATTCAAGCACCACCACCACTACCATCACTAATACAAACAAAAATCTTAACAAAAACACAATAAAAATGGAAGAGACTGATGCTAATGGGGCTTTTAAAGAGAAGTATGTATTTAAGTAAAACATGCAAAAATTAAAAAAATAAAAAACTAGGCAGGAGTACCTAAAATATTAATAGCAATTATCTCTGGCTGGGAATAAATAATTCCTTATTTCTTCTTTATAACTGTCTAACTATCCAGATACTCTACATGAAGATGTACTAGTCTAAGAGTCAAGAAAAAAATTAAACAATGAGAAAACATTACATAAAAGGTTATATACTTTCTCCCTTATTAAAAATAAATAAAACTCTAAAATATAGTAAGATTGGGGAAACTTAACTATATGAGATGGCACTTAATACAGGATGGTGATAAATCATAGTTATATAAAACCCATTTTGCTAAGTAAATAAAACCTATCCATTAACTTAGTTTTCAGATATACAGCACCATTAAAATATTACCACCTTTGAAAATTAGTCCACAAACAATTTATATCCTCCTAGTCCATAGCAAAATTACTTTAAACAAACAATTTTCAAGCGCCGCGCCATAATCTTTTAAACATGCAATACCTGACCTCTGTTTCCTTAGACTGTCAAATTAAAAAATGGCAACAGTCAATATAACATTAGCCGGCCAGTGGGAATGAATCAAAGTTATATTACTTTTTGGTCACACTGGTAAAACATGTATTTTTCTGGTGTGCTGAAGAATTGTACTTTACATGTGTGCCATGAGATGAAAAAGATTAAAAATCACTGCTGTAAACAGTAAACATAAATCACAAGCCTTTAATCATTTTGCCTCAGAAATGACAGTACCCAATTTTAAAAAAGCTTAAGTCAGTCAAGTACTTCTCAGCCAAAAGATACAAAAACTTTTCACTTCAGATCAAATAGGTGTCATCTTTCTACTGCCCCAAAGCATGAAATCTGAGATCTTTGCCTCGAACAACCTAGTCTGTCATGAGGTGAACTTTATGGGTTTTGTTACCAATCTAGCATATGTAGAGCTATTGTAACTGAAAATTCCAGTTAAAGAGACAGTATAAAACTGACCTTAAAACAAATATAAACTAGCACTTAAAAACAAAGAAGAAACCCTTAATGGGCTCATTAAATTAGTCAAAGAAAGAAACCAAATAAAAACAACATTCCTATCTTATTATTGCTTAGGTTAAAAAAAAGTCCTAATTTTGAAGATTTTTCTCCAATAAACCTTTCTTGAGTACCAACTATATATATAATTGGTGCTGCACTAAACATTGGGAAAGATGCACAAGATAAAATTTTAAATCCAGGTAACAATGTGTTATGAAACCCTTCAAAGACAGATAAGAAATAGGGAGGTAAAGGTTTTCCTCTTAATTTATGATGACTGATGAGGATATTGGTTATGTTGAAAGGAGAAAGTTGTCCCTCAGTAAATAATCAATGTCTAGCATAGTTATTAAAACAGAAAGGGTGTTCAAATATTTGCTAAGTGAATTAATAAATACTCAAAATGGACAGAATCTCTAATCTGATGCTTAATGCCATCAGACTGATCTAAATATAATAATCATTACCTGCACTGGGCTTAAAAAATTAGATAATGGGTTACATTTATGATCTAAATAAAACAATCATTACCTCTTCTGGGCTTAAAAAATTAGATAATGGGTTACTTTTAAAACCATTTTAGTTGTCTTTGCAAATCATCACCAATAAAGTAAATACTAAAGTAAACCTGACATAACCTACCATAAATCAGTCAACCTATACTCAAAATAATTTCAAAATATTTATCCCAAGTCCACAGGTGCGTAATGAAACAGGATTTATTTTACCCTAACAAAGTAGTTAAATAAATTAGAATACTTTATACCTCCAATATATTATTCCAAAATGAGAACATGGCAAAAACTTTGGCATATTATGAAATAAGGAAACTTACAAAGTTTTCTTTGGTAGTTTAATTCTACCTGTTGATTCATTTATTTTTTTTATCTTCACCCACGGACTTTCTTTTTCATTGCTTTTAGAGGGAGAGGAAGGGAGAAAGATCAACGTGAGAGAAACATCCATCGGTTGCCTTCCGTATGGTATGCGGAGACCAGGAACTGGATCTGCAACTTAGGTTTGTGCCCCAACTGGAATCAAACCTGCAACCTTTTGGTTAAGGATGCTCCAAACACCTGAGCCATACCAGCAAGGGCTGGACATTGGTGCTTTTTAAGAAATATCAGACTGCTCAGAAAAATTTACCTAACATGTCTGCTAGCTCTTAGTCTCTCCCTGTCTTTTTTTGTATGTGTGTCACATGTCACTTAGTGGCAACACTATGAGTGAGTGATGTCCATATTTTTTGGTCCCCCTTTTAAAACTGAATTTTAACCAAGTTTACTTTAATCATAGGGAGCAAATCAAAACATGTTCCCCATTCCTAGTCCCATATTTTGATTGATACTAGAACAAAATGGAATCTTGGAAAAGCTTAACTAAAAAGATGTATTTATTTTGCATTTTATTACTTATTCCTTATACTTAATTTTAACTTCCACTCACTATATTTTTAAAATAATAATTAACCATCACGAAAATAAACAGATTCAAATATTTAAACAAACTCTTAAATGTACAATAGGGGACTAGTAATTAGTATATATTTACTATGAACAAAAACAGACCATTAGAAATTGTAAACTTGAAAACATTTAGAAAAACATAAAATGTTATATAAGTGGGAAAACAGATTTCAGTTAATAATATAATAATACGTGCATGTATTCATTTATATGTACAGGAAAAAACCCAAAGACTATATTTAAAAATATGTATGGTGGTTATCATGGATTACAATTTGTTTTCTTACTTTAAACTTTACTGTATTTCTCTAATAAAATGAAAACATTTCTATATTCTGACTACAAATGTACATAAAACATTTTTCCATATCTTTAGGTCACAACTATTTTTACAATATAAATAACTGATTATTATTATGACATATTCATACAAATTTGGGTTCTTTTAGTGCCATTCTAAAAATATTAAATTACTGTAGCACACTTAAAAATACAGATAAGTACTAATAAAAAAAGCCATGTAGGTCAGAATCCCATAATCCAAAAATAACTAATAAAAATATTAACATTTTAGCTGAGTAATGATAACACTGTGTAATTTTTGTCTGTTTTTATTATCAATATATTGCAAGGAAGTTCATAAAGAATAAAATTTAAATAGTTGTATAACAAAATATACCTTAGTTAATTCAACCATTCCTATTCTATTTAGATAGCTTATTTTTATTATCAATACTTTATACACACACCCTCAAAAATCCGTGTATAAAAATTTTTGTATAGATTAGTGGAAATTGATGCATTGGATGAACAGGCATGAATGTTTCTAATTTAAAAGCTTTTTAATACAAATTACCACACAGCTTTCTACATTTTCTCCACCAGTGCATCACTGTCAATTTCATGGACAGACAGTGTGGAGTAATACCAATTTTTTAAACCTTTGGTCACTTGGTAACTAAAATATGTTAACTGACACTACTTGTTGATTATTAGTGAGATAAAACAGATGGGTGTCCATATATGCTTATTAAAAATCTACAATTCTTTTTCTGTAAATTTTTTAGGAAAGTATCTTGCCTAAGGGGTGAGGTATCTGTGATAGTTAATTTTATGTGTCAACTTGTCTAATCTGTGATATTAAGCTCTTTGGTCAAACACCAGTCTAAATGTTGTTGTGAGGATAATTTTCAGAGGTGCCTAACATTTAACCAGTAGAATCTGAGTAAAGATTACCTTCCATAAAGTGGGTAGATCTTGTAATAAAAACACTCAAAGAAAAGACCAAGGACCCCAAAGAAGAAGAAAGTCTGCCTCGAGATTGCCTTTTGGCTTAAGACCACACATCAACTAGTACCAGAACTTCCAGCACACCTGCCTACCCTGTGGATTTAGGACTTGAAAATCACGAGCCAATTTCTTCAAACCAAAACATTTTATTTATATATCTCCAAATGAAAACTTTCTATATGTACATAAAGACATATATTGGTTCTGTTTCTCTATATTTCCTGACAAATACAGCGTATTGGAAATTTTCTTTAAAATTTACGAGTTGTTTATTTATTAAGCCAAGTCATCTCCTCTATACCCTTTATGTTTAAAAGACTTCTTTCAAACCAACTACTTACTTGTAAGTCATCTTCTGCTCCTTCAGTTTCATTTTTTAATGCTGGGCATCCTAAGAAAACAGGTTAAAGTTTAATTAAACAAAGAATTTTGTCTTAGATTTTAGTATTATTGACTAATTGATTATATCCCTACAATACTACAGGAGACTAATCAGAGACCATTCTGGGCTGTGTGGCAACCAGTCAGATGTTGGTCACTCATACTTGTCCCTTTATTAGAAGAACAGAAAATAAACTGATGTTTTCCTCTTTTACAGGTCAATTCCCAGTTACTTATTGAAAAGATGTTTATTACGTGTGTGTGTGTGTGTAAGTATACTGTTTCTAGAAAGTCCTGCTACTGATTTCTCTGAAACACTCAAACTGCTAGTTAGAGTACATGTACCACACACTCCTCTGGTGTTTAGGTGATGGCCATGCATGATTTTTTCAAATTTTTGAAATATTCTGACCCAGGAAACAGTATTTAGTACCAAAAAGTAGGATTTACTTGCTACAGTAAGGAAAATAAACAAGAGAGCCTCATTCCATTACTGATAGTCAATGGCCAACTGTACTAAACTTTGTGCATTAGTGTCTCTGTATGCATTTTCATTATGTTCGAGAGCCCCTATAGTTCCAACAAATTAATAAAAAATGGATTTTCCTAGCAATAAATTCTGAGTTTATGCTACCCTTGACAGACATGGCTAGCATGGAGATGAGCCCTTTGAAAAGGGTTGCATAGCTTTTCTCTTACACAGAAAGCTGAGGAAGAGAAATAATCAGTCTATATGGTGACCGATACAAATGTGCTATCCAGTACCTTTGAAATAATGTTTAAAAATAACAAGAGAAGTTGAATACAGCAGTCTATTCCACATGGCTAGGAGTGTGGATAATGATTTTCTCTTTAAAGTACTGGTTCTTAACCACTAGCTAAATAGCAAAATTAACTGGGAGACTTTAAAAAACATACTGATGCTAGAGTATAGTACCAAATCAGTGATATCAGAAATCTCTGTGCGGCGAGGCATAGATAATCACGCATTTTTTAAGTTTTTGTCAGCAATTTGAGAACCACAACCTCTGTTAAAGAATCTGAGGATACGCATTCACATTTGTTTTTCTAAATTCATAATATAATCATTCAATTAGCATAATAATTCCTCATCACATTTGAAATGTTAAGAACTTATAAAACAAATGGAATGTACCAGCTCCGCTCCCCAAACAGTTTCAGTCAACTGACCTGAAGTGGGAACCAGTTATTCTATTTCTCAAAAGCCTCCCAGTTAATTCATACATGTAGCCAACATTAAGAACACTGACATAAAAAGAATTTATAGGTACTGGCAATAAAAATAAAATGACTGCTATCATTTCATAGAATTTTTTTCTGAACTGGAAGTCAAAGATTATTTATTTAGCAAACTGTACTCTTTTAAAGTAGCCAAATAGATTATTTAACCACCGTTTTAAGTACTATCAATACAAATCTATACTAAGTATTTCTATTTTCTTGCATATGGCCTGTCTCATAATTAGTTCATTTCTTCTAATTCTTTTCTTATAATATATTCAAAACATGCAAATCACAATGTTTTCTAATATCTTGATTTAGTAACTTTATATAGAAGTCATTGCTGTGAATAGAGATAATATTCCTTCTTAATTAGAAAAACAAATCAAGTTTTGACTTGTTTTGGTGGAAGAAATAAGTTTGAATGTGATTTCTTTTGTTCAGTTATGCAGAAGCCAGTCTTACATGTAAATACGCTCTTCTACTCTTCAAAACCTGCAAACTTTAGGGCTAATCATTTTAACAGATTGGAAAGGTATCGCAGAGGGACATGGGGTTGTGGTATCTGCCAACGCTCAACAATGAAATCAGGTAAAAAGAAAAGTGCTCTGCCATAGAACAACTGAAGTCTACTTATGTGTGATCATTAGAAATTTTCTCTCCATCATTACCAAAACAAGAATATGACTGCTATAACATACACGCAAGGACTTTGAAAACGGTACCCGACGGCTGCCCTCTTCTTCAAGCTCTTATCTGAAAACACGTGAAGTACCTGAAGGCTGCTGCTGCTGGGCTGCTCAAGGTAATAAATGTAACTGGTATATATTGTGATGTAATGAATAGAAAACAGACTAAAGAGCCCATTCTTTTATCTTCATCTACAGTGAACTTTCAAAGCCTGATCACATATCACGAAACCTGACTTGCTTAAAGTAACTCTACTTTACTGCATAGAACTGATGAACAAATTAAGAACAGTCAAGAAAAGTTACCTTGAGAAATGTCCTCTATAGCTCTTCGAATACCTCTATCAAAAGCCCTCGCATCAGCAGGACTTTGAAAGGTAAGGCCAAATTTCTTGTCATCAATCTTCCAGTGGTGAAATGTCGGAGTGACCTTATTGTAAATGAGATCCTTTTTAAGCATACATTCCAAAACCACCTGTCAAAAGTTAAATGCCAAAAATTACTACACATATGGCCAAATGCATCTCTTAAATACAAACTGGAGTGTAAAAAAGAGTTATTATATTTTAATGAGTATTTCAACCCTATATTAATATAGAGGTCTTGCTACTGAATCTCTTTTACAAAGTGGCTCAATACAGAAATTAAGATGAAACTAAAGAGGATTCTGGAAGATGGCAAAGAATTGCTAGGAATCTGCCCTCCTACCTAGACAACAATTGCATTGGCAGGATCTGTCTGATGTAACAGTGTTGGAAGTCTGCAGTCTGCTGAAGGCTTGAAACTTCCAGGGGAAGGCATAGACAGTAAACTGTGGTTAATTTCCATCAGTTTCAATTATTAGCACAGTAGCAGCAATCCATCCAGCTGACACGGCTGGGAATTGTACATGTGCTGCTGGAGCAGTATGTACACAAATCATGGGAGCCAGCACGGGTAAAAGGACCCTGTCCTCCAAATATCAGGTATCTGTGCTGTTCTGATCCCTGACTGCTGCCTCTGGTCACAGAGATAAAGAGAAAGAAGAGGGTAGCCACTGCTGTTGTACTTTTTCTCATTGTTGCAAGTCTTTCCTTGTCAGAATGAAGTAACATCCATGATATTTAAAGGGGTAGCTCCATTTTTAGCTGTCATTTTTCACTTTTTCCATTTTGGAAGACATTAAAGACTAGAATGTGCAGAAACAGCATATAAGGAAAAAAATTAGAAAGTGACTATGTATACCCAGGGAAAGGCCCAGAAAAGGCATGAGAAGACATTAAATTTATCTTATTCTTTTCCTTGGCACAGAGACTGATGATACCAATGACGAAGATAATGATGATGTAACAAAAATAGCAAGAACTTCGGAAAGGAGAAGATATGATTTCCAGAGTTACCACACTATTAGACGCAAATACCCAGTGTTCAACCAAATAATACCAAAGCATACAAAGAAACAGTAAAATAAAACTGGCTCAAAGAGGGGGGAGGAGGAATCAACAGAAACTGCTCCTGAAAAAGATCCCCCCAGCAGAATAGACAAAGGCTTTTTAAAAATTGTCTTAAAAAGTACAAATTGGAAGTTACATAACAGTCACAGGGGTGTAAAGTATAGCATAGAGAATACAGTCAATATTACAATAAATATGTATGGCATCAGGTGGATACTAGATTTATTGGGTGTTCACTTTGTAAGTTACGTAAGTTTTTAACCATTGAGCTGTACACCTGAAACTAATATAATATTGAATGTCAACTGTAATTTAAAAAATTTAAAAAAACTGCCTTAAAGATGCTCAAAGAACTAAATGAAGATATGGAGAAAATCAAGAAATAATGTATGAACAAAATAGAAATATCAATAAAAAAAGTAAAAGAAATTCTGGAGCTGTAAAGTACAATAACCACAACAAAAAATTCACTAGAGGAATTAAAAAATCATATGAGCAGGAAGAAAAGAAAATCAGTGGACTTGAAAACAAAACAGAAATTATTAGGTCCGAGGAAAAGAAAACAAAGAAAAGTACACAGAGTCTAAAGGATCCATGAAACATCCTGAAGAGAAGCAAAATACATTATTGTGGGAGAAAGGAACAGAGAGAATATTTATAGAAACAATGGTTGAAAACTTTCTAATTTTTCAACATTCTATTTACTGATTGGGGAGAGGGGGAGAACAACATCAATTTTGTTGTTCCACTTATCGATGCATTTATTGGTTGCTTCTTGTATGTGCCCTGACTGAAGATCAAACCTGAAACTTTAGTGTATGAAGACAATGCTCTGATCAACTGCGCTACTCGGCCAGGGTGAAAACTATCCAAATTTGATAAGAAACATGAATATGAACATGCAAGAAGCTCAACAAACTGCAAATGAGATGAACTCAAAGAAATTCACAAAGAATCCTGAAAGAAGAAAGAGAAGTTAATCATTACAAACAAGAGATCCTAAATAAGGATATCCACAGACTTCTCTTCAGAAACTTTGGAGGCCAGAAGATAATGGGCAGATTAATACTGTTAAAGTTCTAAACAAACAAACAAACAAACAAACAAAAAACAAAACAAAAAAACCCCCTGTCAATCAAGAAGCCTATACCTGGGAAAACTGTCATTCAAAAGAGAAAGAAAAATTAAGACATTTTCAGATAAACAAAAGATGAGTTTGCTACCACCAGATCTGCTCTGCAAAAAAAACGGTCAAGGGAGTCATTTCTACAAGATGAAATGACAGTAGATAGTAACTTTAATGCTATATAAAAATTTTGAAAACCTCAATTTAAGAGCTAACACATTTAAAGAAAAAAAAAACAATTACTAAAGTAAAAGCTAGTTATTAGTGTAACTAATTTTAACCCCAAATACTGTTATCTATAAAATTTAAGAGACCAATGTATTTAAAAGAATTATTGCTTTATGATTCTTGGCACACCATGTATGAAGACATAATTTTGTAACGTTAACAACTGACAGAGATGGGGATGAAGCTGTAAAGAAGTAGTTTCTGTATGTTATTAAAATTAAACTAGTATAAATTCAGTTAGTGTTTTAACTTTAAAATATTACTGTAATCTCCATAATTACCAAAAAAACTATGAACAAAAGAAATGAGAAAGGAATTTAAGCATTTCACTACAATTGACTAAACACAAAAGAAGATAGGAATACAGAAAATGAGGAATTAAAAAGCTATAAGGCATATAGAAAACAAACAGCTTAACAGCAGAAGTCCCTCCATATTAGTAATTACTTTAAATGTAAAGGAATTAAGCTTTCCAACCAAATGAGAGATTAGCAGAATGGATCAATGCATGTGATCCAACTCTATGCTGCCAACAATGAACTCACCTTAAATCCAGAAATGAGTAGGTTCAAAATGAAAGACAGAGAAAGACATTCCATGCAAATAAAAAATAAGCAAAATCAAAAAGGTTACAAGGAAGCAAGAGGATATAAAAAACATTTGTGCATCTATATATACCATCAAAACACCCAAAGCAAAAAACGGTGTAACTGAAGGGAGAAATAGATCGTTCTAAGATAATAACTGAAAGTGCAATACCCACTCACAATAAGCAACAGAACCACCAGACAGAAGTTAAGGAAACTGAGGACTTAGCACAATAAACCAACTAAACTGAACAGACATATAAAGAACACTCTGCCCAACAACATTTAAATGTAAGAATACATATTCTTCTGAAGTGCACATGGGTCATTGTTCAGGAAAGACCATATCTTAGGCCACAAATTACATCTCAATATATTTTAAAATAGAGGTATTATATTTAGTATCTTCTCTGACCACAACTGGATGAATTCGGAAATCATTAACAAAAGGAAAACTGGAGAATTCCTAACTGTGCCATTAATTTTGGAAATTAGAAACATTTCAGAGAACTAAAACAAAAACACAGCATACCAAAATTTATGGTGTGCTGTGCTAATAATGCATAGCTATAAACACTCACCTTAAAAAAAAACAAAGAAAAATCTCAAATCAATAATGTAACTTCCTGACCTAACTAGAAAAAAACCCCTAATCCCTACCCCAGCAGAAAAAGGAAATACAAACAACAGCAAAATAGAGAATAGAGGACTAGAGAAAAATCAATGAAACCAAGCATTGGTTCTATCAGAAAAAGATGAAAAAATTGGCAAACCTTTAGGTGAACTAGGAGAAAAGATATAAATTACAAAAATCAGAAATGAAAGTACAGACATCACTGCTGATTCTACAGAAACAAACTGGATTATAAGAGTAGTATGGACAACACAATGGCAACAAATTGGATAACCTAGATGAAATGGACAAATTACCAGGAACAAAACAAACCAAGACTAAGTCAGAAATAAATTTAAAAAATCTCAATAGACCTGTAACTTCTAGAGATTGAACAGTAATAGAAAATCTCTCAATCAATAAAGAAAAACTCTGACAGTGATGGCTTCATTGGTAAATTATACGAAACATTTAAAGAACTAATACTAATACGCTCAAACTTTCTAGAAAAACTGAAGCGAAGGTTAACACTTCCGAAGTCATTCTGTGAGGCCAGCATTACCCTGATACCAAAGTTAGACAAAGACACTATAAGAAAACTGTAACCTAATATGCCTTTTGAACACTGATGCAAAATTCCTCAATGAATACTAGCAAGCCAAATTCAGCAGCATATTAAAAGGATTATATACAAAAGGGACTGATTCCTTGAATGCAAAGATTGTTCAACATATGAAAACTAATCAATATAATGTCACATGAATAGGATGAATAAAAAAACTATATGATCATCTCAACTAATGTAAAAAAGGCATTTGACAAAATTAAAACTCTTTTCATGATAAAAAACACTCAACCAACTAGAACTAGAATGAAAATACCTCAACATATTTGTCAATAATGTCAAGACCACTCAGTGGGAGAAAGGACAGTTTTTTACTGTATTTTTTCCTGTCACCATTTATCCCCCTTATATCCTCTTCCACCTTCACCTGCCTGCCTCCTATAAAATCACTACACTGTTGTCCATGTCCACGAGTCCTTTTTGTTTTTAGTTCGGCATCTCCACCCTCAAAACCCCATTCCCAGCTGTCAGCCTACTCACTATCTATGAGTCTGTCTATTTTCCTTGCTAGTTCAGTTTGTACATTAGATTCCACATGAGTGAAATCATACGGTATCTGTCCTTCTCTGACTGGCTTATTTTACTTAGCATAATGTTCCCCAGGTCTGTCTTTTCAATAAATAGTACTAGGAAAACTGGATATTCACATGCAAAAGAATGAAGTTGGACTCTTACTTAAGCCGTACACAAAAATTAACTCAAATGGACCAAGAGCCTAAATAAGAATTAAACAATAAAATACAAGAAAACACAGGACAAAAGCTTCAGGACATTGGAACTGGCAATAATTTCTTGGATATGATGCCAAAAACACAAGTAACAAAAGAAAAAATAATGGTGTGCTACTGTTCTCTTCCCAACTC